CAAATAAAAATATTTTTGATACAGAAATAATTGATTTACTTCTTGATGATTCAATTCATCAACATTATTTTTATAAATATTTTTTTTCACTTTCATCTATTTATGGTATATATTATGATCAAAAATTTGTTCATGCATTAAAAGAATCACTTAATAAACAAGATAATATATTAAATATTGTTGAAAAAGGTTTTTTATTACATCATTTTTTATATAATTATGGACGATACGAATTATGTCAACAAATTATTGAATGTATTATACAATCATTAACAAAATTAGTTAAACAACATAATCAAAAACCTATTATATGGACATATTTATTTCGTGGATGTTGTGCACTTGTACAAGTACATAATCAAAGTTTTCAAATACAACAAGCATGGGCAAGAATTGAAGCAGCTAATGAAATTGCTGATAGTCTTAAAATATCTGGAATAGGTAATCGAAAAGCAAAAATAAAAATAAAAATTCATATTTTTCATCTTGCTTATAATAGAAATTGCTAATCATGAATATGTTTGGTTATATTCTGTAATATCTCAAACAGCTTATGAAGATGCAAATTTTGACGCTTGTATACAATATAGTTATAAGTAATTTTTTTTTTGTGTTTAATATTTTATTATTTATTAATATTTAATATTGATTAACAGAGGTCTTAAATTAGTTGATAAGAATAATCATTCATTAGTTATTGATTTGCTTTGTTCACTTACACATGGTTTAACATCAAAATGGATTATGAATAAAGCACAAGCAACAGCTCTCATGGCTGTACAATATGCTACGTAAAATTTTATGAATAAGATTTAATGTAGATTTATTTTCTTTCTTTTTTTTTTGTATTTATGATAGGAAATATTGTGGTAGAAATAGTCCAATATATATTCATGCACTTCAACAATTAGTTCAATATTCAAATGAATTTATACAAGATCGAAGTTCTGTTGAATTAGCACAGGTATAATAAATATATCATTTTGTATTATTAAATTATATCGTAAAATACATGTCTAACAAAGATAAGATACAATGAGAACAAAACCTCGAATAAATAACAGATGTTTAGTGACAGATATAAGTTTAGAGTAGTTGGATTTTTGAATTTTCTTCTCGATGGTAATATCTAACAAGAATCTGAAACAACGTTCGTCCGAAGTCAGTTTTCTAAGCTTTCGAGGAAAAGATTTTATTTGATAGAGTAAATAATTCTGAACAAAGTGAGACATCTCCGATTTCTCTATGACCTTCCTTCATCGAGCTGCATTCAATTTATGGAAGGTCCAAGAAGCATTTTTCTCGTCTTTGTATTGAACATTTCAATAGTTTTTCTATGTTTGACAGTGTAGGACCTTCTGTAAATTATATGCAGTTTAATGAAGGAAGGTCATGAAAAGTTTGGAGATATCTCATTTTGCTTAGAATCATTTGTCCTATCGAATAAAATCTTTTCCAAAAGTTTCGAATGAAAGCCAGAAAACCAGTTTCAGAAAATATTGGTTTTCCGCGGATCCTCATCCAATCAGTTTTGATGGTCTTCGAGACTACCAGTTCTTTCAGATTCTAACTCGCTACTACAATCGAGAAGAGAACTTGAAAATACGGCTGGTCTAAACTTTTGTTCGCTGCTATAGTGGAAACAATTTTAATGAAATAATAATTAAGAATAATCAAGTAGAAAATAGGGTTAACTGTGTTTTGGACAACTATTATAAACGAAAGTTATTAAAATACATAGATAAACATAATCATCTTCTTCGAATTTCTCTTCCAATAAAATCCTAATAATTCGATTTATTGTATGTGCAGGGATTGATGAAAGTGATGTACGCGATATTCCGCTTGAATAAAATGATTCTATTGGATAGATAATATTCGTGTATATCGAATTAATTAAAGACTAAAATTGTCTTCTGAAAAAGCAATAAATTCTAGTAAGCTAATCTGATTCCGATACTAATATTAAAAGACTAGAATTGAACAATTTTATTTTACAACATGATTACTTCAATATGACAACGAATCTCAATAACGATAAAATCATATTAAAAAATTATTCGAGGAAATCTTCATCGTTTATACAATGCGCTCTTACTCTCATGTGATGGAACTACATGTATGAAAACATTGAAGAACGATGTACTACAAGTACACCTTGAGAGCTATTCATGTAGAGTTATTTTCCACAAAATTAGCCAATGACGGCCATGTGCTCAAGCTGAGATCCTTCCTATGTTTAAAATAAAAAGAACATTATGACTTTTGTTTTATTCAATAGTATAGTTTAATGATATTTATCTACATCAATAGTATTCAGCTAATAGAATTCTTTTTCTTCTGTGTCAACTCTCTTGATCTAACTAAAATATAAATTTTAGTATACACTTGATCGTGCTCGAATTGTATACGGATATGAATCATTAATTGTTGCTCATTGTCATCGAGCATTATCTAAAAGTTTAATAAATCTTGCATCGACAATTCATCCTCGTCATAATATTCAAGATTCACTATTTGAAGATAATATTAGTTATTATCCAAATACAACAACAACAACAAAAGATCTATCATCATCTGCATATCTTCATCATGCTAATGAAGCCTTTCGTATTGCTCAAGATTGGTTTGGTGTTGAAGATCGTATACGTTTATTTCCGTTTAAAATGAGTTTAGCTCATGCTTTACAAGCACAAATTGCAGTTGATATATCTGATAAAAAAAATACTTATTTTAAAGATGCTATGGAATTACTTAATGATTGTCTTTCAATTGCACAAGATATATTTGGTTCAATGAGTTTTAAAGTCGCACAAGTACATCGACTACAATCAGCAATATATCTTAGTAAAAAAATGTTAATTAAATTTAATTCTTGTTTTTTTTACTCTGTTTATTAATTCAAATTGTGTTTTTTGTTTTGTTTTGTCTAGGTATAATGAAGCTGAACAAGAATTAAATAAATGTTTACAAATCTATAAACTTTGTTTACCACCAAATAGTTTTCATTATCTTGTAACAAATGCAAGTTTAGGTTTACTTTATAAACAACAACAAAATTATGAACAAGCATTAATATTATTTCAAAATATTGCTGAATCATTAGGTAAATTTTGTTTTTCTAAAGAGCAAGTGACGGTTTGTAGCGAAATCAGCTCAATTGAATTTTAATGATTACTTCGTTTTAAAAATAAAAAATATGATTGATAGAAGATATACATTACATTTTTAAAATGATTTTAGCAGATGTTCATAGGTTTAGGACTCGACCATATTTTCAATTTTCTAAGTATTACATAGGAAAATCCTGATTACTAAATTTTACACGTTTTCCTTCTTATTACTTAATACAAATTAAATGAATTATATATCAACAGATAGATCGTGAAAAATAGTTCAAAAGTCTATATAACGATCATTTATTAAAAATGTAGGAAAAGAAAATTCTTATTGAATATCATTATAATATGACGTTAGAATCTGGTATAAACTGTCCTATACACTGAAATAGAGTGTGTTCACTCTGAGTTCTATAATAATTGATAGAGTTTTTCATGGGCTATAAATCCATGTATAATTTGTCTGGAAGAAAAAAGCTGCAAACATGTTTGGAGTCAACGAAGATTTTGTTTAGATAAGCAAAAACAGCATGTTTTGACCAGTGTTCACCGATTTCGGTCGTAAGAAACATCTTTTCAATCAAAACAGATAGCATATTCGGAATCAACACAAAAAATGGCGTCGATCTACGAGTGTTTCAAACTTTTCTCATATTTTTTATTTTCGGACAAAACTGAAGCTCTGGTCTTCCATCAGCGCTGCCTCAAAAAATGAGTTAAAAAAAAAGTCATTGCAAAACTTTGAAAGACGCACGGATCAACGTCACTTTTTGTGCTGATTCCGAATGCGCTATCTGTTTTGATTGAAAAGATGTTTCTTACGACCGAAATCGGTGAACACTGGCCAAAACATGCTGTTTTTGCTTATCCAAACAAAATCTTCGTTGACTCCAAACATGTTTGCAGCTTTTTTCTTCCAGACAAATTATACATGGATTTATAGCCCATGAAAAACTCTATCAATTATTATAGAACTCAGAGTGAACACACTCTATTTCAGTGTATAGGACAGTTTATACCAGATGCTAGCGTCATATTATAATGATATTCAATAAGAATTTTCTTTTCCTTCATTTTTAATAAATCATCGTTATATAGGCTTTTGAACTATTTTTCATGATCTATCTGTTGATATATAATTCATTTAGTTTGTATTAAGTAATAAGAAGGTAAACGTGTAAAATTTAGTAATCAGGATTTTCCTGTGTAATACTTAGAAAATTGAAAATGTGGTCGAGTCCTAACCCTGTAAACATCCACTAAAATCATTTAAAAAACATAATGCATATTTTCTATCAATCATTTTCTTTTTTTTTTAAATAAAACAATCATTAAAATCTCTATTGGAGTGATTTCACTACCAACTGTCACCTATTCTTTATTCATTATAATTCGATTATTATAATGTTTATTTTAGATACAAAAACTCAATCATTTTGTTGGATAAATATGGTACTTGAAAGTCTTATTGAATGTTATTCTCATCTTGAAGCTCAACAAAATGAAGATTCACCTCGATTAAAAAGTGCTGCAGATAAGGCTCGTTCAGAATTATATGAATGGCGTCGTATAAATGCAAAACGTATAAATATATTAAATTTAATACATCAAGAACCAACACGTTCATTAGAACAATTTGTTCAAGATTTAACAAAATTTCAACAAACAACTAATCGTCTTCAATCATTAATACATATTCAACAAAAAGCAAAAAATCGTATAATACCTATGAAAATACATCAAGAAATTTGAACATTTTATTTATATAAAAAAAGAAAAAGGAAAAAATTTGAGATCATTTTTTGTTTTTTTTTTTTTTATTAAAGATTAAAAATAAAAATTTAAAAAAACAACGAAGGAAATAGTTCTTTGTTTTCTAATTTAAATATCAAGAATTGCTTCATATTTTCCATCGTATGAACCTTGTCCTGTTAAAAATATTGACATTGGTGGTTCTCCAAGTAGACCTTCAATTGATAATTGACATTCATATGTTTGATTATGTCGAGCAGTAAAATAAACTGATATGACTTGTTGAACTGATTTATCTTTCGAATTTAATTGAGTTGTTAATATACCACATTTTGGTTCAATTCGAAATGCTTCATAAGTATCAGGACTATTAGCGTGAACTAAAATAATTTATTCGTTAAGAAAAATCTTTAGATTATAGTTTTATTCTAAGCGAACTTCAACTAATGGATGATGTGTATTCATGATTCTTTTTCTTTCACTAGGGTGTCGGCTATTCGAAATTTGAAGAGAGCTTTTTTTTTTGATATATTCAAACAATGTTTTCGTAGTGAAACTTACGAGAGAATCTATTCGAATGATATTCTCCGTTTGAACTCATGTTTTTTTCTTATAGTGTAGATAAAAATTCTGAAAGGGTTCGTGTCATTAGTCCCTCTTTTTTTCGAGTTGTGACCATATTAATGAACTTTCAGCTTATTGAAGAATTGAAATAATTTCTTAATAGATTAATTATTATGTAGTAAATTACCTTTTCGTATTGACCATGCTGATGATGAACAAGTTAAATTTTTAATAATAAATTCTTTTTGTCTTGTTTGTTCAAGAAAACATGTACCAAAATCAATATGATCACAATTAACAGTTAATATTGGAAAATATAAACGAATATCAATTGGTATAATTTGTTCCATTTCATTTTGTTTAAATTTAATAGATAATTGTTCATGCCAATGTATACGACGTCCATGTTCAATTGTTATTGTTTCATCAATTTTTGATAATAATGATTCATTTTTATTTAAATTTATTAAACGAAAACGTTCAATTAAATCTGATGATAAATGAAAATGACATTGAACATTAACTTTTGATTGTGATGTTAAACTTGTTAGTGTAGATGGTTGTACTGAAAGAAATGATGAATCTGATATTGATAATTCAAATGGTATTGTACATTGTCGTGTATTTAATAAATTTAATGTACGTGTATAAATTATTTCATGACAATTACGATTTGATAAACTTGTTGATTTTCCTGATGCTCTTGATGATGATTTTGTTGATGACGGTTTTGTACAATTGTATAGATTAGGTTGTAATGATAATATATCACCTAATAGAAAATAAAATTCAATAAAACCAAAATTAATTAGTTTAGCTCTTTGATCTCAAATTCAGTTTGAAATTTTAATGTTCGTATTCAATTAAAGATATGTATTATGGTTGCAGTCATAGAAAAGTTACGACTAGAACCGACCGGGTTCTATTCGTCTGAGAAATGTGTAGAGCACGCTAGTCATCAAATACAAATCTGCTTGTTGAAGTTCTATACTCTAAAGTAAGCAAAGATGGAGAACTATGTCCGAAATATACATAAAAAAAGATTAGTTTACAGGAGATTAGAAGCAATATCTAGATCATGTTTCACATTTTAATTTTACAGGGATTGCGCTAACAGCTTTCTATATCATTGTGATATGAGATCGAATCGATACTGGTAGTGTTTAGCGGTTCCGGTTCGGTTCTCAAAATATCATGTGGAACCGAAATCATTAGATAGATATGAAAAGTCTGAATATATTTTGAGAAATTTTCACTATTGAATTGTTGAAATTAAAGACGTCATATATTTCAGTATTTAAACAAAATAATATACTGAAATCTTTATTAACGATGATCTTTATCATATTTAGAATATAAAGAGCTATGGAGAAGTCGAAAAAAAAAGATGCATAAATCCAATTCCATGATCTGTTTACCATTATATAGTCTATAATGTTCTTTAGCAAGCATTCAATTATGACAGCAAAATAATAAGAATTCGTATCAAGATAGATGGTTAAAAAAAAACAATTCTTTAACCTGGATATGAGACCAAAAAAGATGATAGTATTTTAAAGAATTACTTACCAACAGGAATAGCAAATGAAAGTGCTTCGACTTCATTAACATTACAATCATCATCATTAAGTTCAACACGTAATGATGGCATTTCAAGTGATGCATGCATTTCAAATTCAATTTGTTCTTCATGTTCATAATAAATAGGTCGATGAAAACCTTGACTTGGTGAACCTTGTCTCTATAGAAATTGAAATATATAGAATATATTATGGAAAAAAAATTAATTCTTTTTATTTTACTTCTTCTGAAACACTTAATATACCAATAATTCGTGCAGTACATTTCATTGGATAATCTTTTCTTGGACAATTACGTGGTGTCATAGTTATATCAAGATAAAAATGTTCTCTTGGTTTAACAATCTAATTATAATTAAATATAAATAAATTATCATTGATATATATATATATAGATAAAATTTATTTACTTTTGTTGTTGATGAAATTGAATAAATAGCATTTGTCTTAGGAGATCGTTTACCTTGATATGGTTTGACATAAAGTTTAATCAATGGTGTTGGCTTATCATCAATTATACTGACCGATGAATGAGCTAACATAGCTGAATTTCCTCTTGAAGCTATTTCTATAATAAGTATTAAAGTTTCAGATATACATATCAGAGACGGAACCAATACGAATTTTAGATCTAACACAGTCGTAAAAACCTTTTTTGTTTTTGTTCGATAACTTTCCTAGATATACAAATAGGAATCGACTAGCTCTCAATTCAAATCAAATGAACGAAAGAACTGTTCGAACCGAACATATTATAACACAACATCTATTCAAACAATTCCTCTGATAGGAAAAAAAAACTGTTCTGTTTTGAGAATTGAACTTATCGATCTTTATATACAAACGAATAAATGAAAATAATATTTCAAAATTTTCTTGTCTTACTTGTTGATGTTGTTGTTTGAGACATTAACTCATCATTATTTTCCGTGATAGTTGTGTCACTTATAAAACTATCAAATGGATTATTATCAATAACTGATATAAGTTCAATAAGTTTCGAATTTTCGGTTGTATCTTCAGTTATATCATAAATAACCCAATCAATACGTATTGGTATATGTGAAACATTTTGCATATGAACTTGTTTTATTATTGGTAATGAATTATGTAACATTGAACCAAATTGTACAATAGGTAATGATGAAGATTTATCATTTTTATTTGTACTTAAATATGTTTTTATTGGATTACCAGTTATATGAACTCGAATAGGAATTTCTTTTATTGAATCCATACCATCAATCTAATCATTATATCAAAACAAAAAAAAATTAGTTACTAGTACAATAGAACACATCTCTGCACTCTCATTTTACTTAATCCTCCAAGTATGCAATAAAGAAGTAATTCATATATCATAACGAGATGTTATTGATCCGCAGTCTATGATGGCCTCTGGCTAGCGTCTGTCACAGTTCGTGATGGGCTCTAGCCGGTAACATGAATTTTGACTCGTAAAATAAA